TAATTGATATTTATTAATCGTGCGATTATTAAGCGCCAATTTGTGGCGAATTGCGCAAATATTAATTTGTATAATGTGACAATTTGTTTAGATCTTAATTACGATAATTCGCAACATAAATAATAACGAAAGGCAAATTCCAACATCTCGTAATTGCTTAAAAAGCTTGTTATAAGTAAAAAAAACTTTTATTTCATGTATACACACACAAACGTACACGTATATACACATATAATTATTGATTATAAAAATTGATTCCTATACGTTCCTGAAGGAAAAGAAGATTTGTGAAGGAGATCAGGATCGGTTTGCAAGTATCGAAGGATAAAACGATTCCGACACTGCATGTATCGTGTATCACTATTACGTATCGTTACGTAATTATGATATAATAATGGGGTGAGAAACAACAGACAGTCATACAATAAGGCGCATCACATCACACGTGATTGCCCCTGAATGTATTTTTCTACGCAACAGTTGCGGATCCTCTGGAGCAATTTGCCGAAGATGAGCTTTAATTGCAAGAACAATCGGTTATGAACAGTGCCATTATCTTATAGACGCAATTATTATGTGTTTATTATGAAGGATTTTAATAATTTCTCGTAAATCGTTTATGACTGTTGCACTTATAATGATTACGTATGTATCACGTTGTAATTCGTACATATGTTAACAAGTTTATTGCACTCTATTTTGAATTCACAAGAATATGCATAAGATGTAACATAGTAATCAATGATTCAGCCTGTCACAATAATTAGTAAGGCTTACAATCGAGATTAATAAATTGTATTATTCGAAGAAAATAAAGTACGATAATTGATCGAGTGCACATATCATTGGACATATGCATTTTTTGTGTGTACGAATTTCACAATAGTCATTGGCAATAAATTTTCTTCTGATTGCGTGATTTCCAAGCAATTGTATAATTGAGCACTTATCAAATATTATATTTAATCGACTAATCATCACAGGTATTCTCCCGACAAGATGCTCAAACTTTGATAGATCGACGATCTTGCTCTTTCGCGTTAAACTAATACGCCAACTAATTTTTTAAGTACGACTCAGTTGCAGAGTCATTCTGCAGATGTGATTCGTTATACAAGAATTGCAGTAAAATACCACCGAACTCGTGCAAACTTTCGCCGAGAGCCAGTCAAGCATTCAGTGAAGTCATTAAATTTAGAAGTCAATTTGGGATGAAAGACGTGGCGGAAACGTTGCGATGAAGTTAATGATGGGGAATATGCGGTGTTATATCACAGACTCTCTACTGTATGTACATGTGGATAAACGTAATTACAATAAAGATGATTTTTTCTTTAATTGCAATTTTAATATAATTTGTATATGTTACTATCTTTCATAAAAGACAATAAAAAACGAAAAACAACAGTTTCTCACGCAATATTCCTACCTCATTATTAAAATTGTTCCTTATAAGTTTAATATATAGTGTAAAAAGTTATAAAACAAAAAAAAATTACAACGGAGAATATCTGCCTTATTCTTCTTTTTAATTATTTTTTAATAAGTTTTGCATTTTTGACTGGATTATTCAATTTTCCAGTAAATTTCTCATCGTCTTACTCTCTTACTTTTTTGCTTATCCAGCAGATAAATTATCACATAGATAGAATCATTTATCGAAAGATGGAACAACTGTCCTTTAGACTTTTATATATACATATAGTGTTTCAAAATTCGCAAAGTGATTCAATGTATTGTGCAAAAAAATTTTTGAAGAATTATAATACGTCAAAATGTTCTTTGTAAATTTTTAAGTAATAGTTTTTAAATATAAAAGTTTAAAACTGAATGAGATAATGCTACAGCGGTCTAAGTTGGATCGCGGGTACTTCTAAAATTGTGTGTGAATTTATATACTACGAATGTATAATTCTTCGATTGCGCGCCGAAACTTTTCAGATTTGAAATGCAATACTAATAAACTACCGCAGTAATATCACGAGTTAAATTGACTAACAATTTAACGATTATTGATGCTGTTTACATATCTTATATCGATCTTATTAATGTTGAATAATCTATTAAAAACTGTAAATAATTAATTTTTCACTGCGAAAAATATTACCTCGGCCGGGAGTCGAACCCGGATCTCTGGCATTTCGTGCGAGCGTCCTAAGCCTTTAGACTACCGAGGCAATAACAGTTTAAGTATGGCTAATTACAGATTACATTTAGATAAGTCATCTGTTCAAACACATTAATTGTAAATCAAAAGAAAATTAAAAGAACTTTATTTTAATGCATTGAAAGTCAGAATGGTCATTTTGGAATTTAACTGTTTATTGACGTTAAGAATAAAAATAATGTCAATTCAATTTTTATTGACTTTTGTGTGTTTCTTGAATTAGAAGGTACTATCAGCGCTCACTACCTGCCTCATGGAGGGTATCTGAACATAGTCTGTAATAAACCATATTTAAACACTTATCTGAAAAAATTAATGCTTAAAATGAACATTTAAATAACTATCTTGCTAATATTTTGAGTCACAAATTTTGAGACATCCCGTATATATAAACATATATAAATAAGAAAGAAAATAATACAGAAGATTTGACATTTTCATGAAAAATCGCACAAATGTACCAATAGATTTGAAAAATAAAAACAAATACATTAAATACGTTATGAAAATTATATAATTATATTAGTTGCTTTATCCTCGCACATCAGGATTGGTAAAAATCATGTTTTAAACTGTTTAAAAAGTACATGCTTAATCAACATATGCCTATTAGTTGTTTTTAACATATTTCGAATATGTTTTTTTTAAGCTGTTTGAAGCATATAAAAAGGATTAAAAACATATTTAAAAAAACGCAATGTTTTGTTCTTTAAAATAACATTATCTTTTGTCTTATTAACTCTATCACACATTAATTGAAAGTGTATCTGTCAAACGGGAGAAAAACATGTGAATAACGTCGCAAAATCGCGTTATCGGAACTGATGAATTGCCCCAAGTGTTCGAGTGATTGTCGGACATTATTATGACATAAATTATGAAGATTTAACGTACAAATGTTTATTCAAATACGAATAAATCATGGACCAAAAATGACGAATGCAAGTAAATTTGCGTCAAGCCGATTGCTTGTTTGTATACTCGCTAACTTGGAGTCGAGCTGTATTTGTACGCGAGTGCATACATGAGTATACATTATGCAAGATACATGAGATGACCTTGACAATGACCACTGCCGCTGCACGCGGGTTACATTAGTGATCAGCGTGTCGTTAACGCACCGACAAAACAATCACGTTATCACCGAAGATCGTGAGAGGCGGACACCTCGGAAATGTGACGGTTTCCGCAAAAACAATAAATCTCCTGTCCGTCTTATCGCTACTCGTTCACATTTCGTCGACTATGTGACAAATCACAAGCAATTGCAAACGAACGAATATTGCCCACATAAAAGCACTTTTAATTATCTCAGAACCGCTAATAATGCTATTTTTCTTTTAATAATTTTTTAATTTAAATTTCTGCGCTTTTAATTATCAGATAAAAGTTTTCATATAAATTATAAATAATACATTTATTTGAAATTATTTATGGTTTAATTTCCGAAATTAATGTCGATGTTTTTAATAAAAACTACATTCAGCTTTTAAGATAATTAAAGTTTTAGGATTCCAGATCGAATAATATTTTATTTGAACGATATAATTTTATTATTTATTTCCCGAAGATACCGGCAGTTCATTATTTTCGTGAAGGAAACGTCTAATCCGTATCTAAGAATCGTATATATTTTCAGTATTATCGCAAATTCAGTTATAAAGTAGTAAGATTCCAGTGAGAACATTGAAACAGAATATTCGCAACAGTTTGCATCCTATACTGGAAGACTGTGTTACAAATAATCGTAATGACGCAATGAATCGTATTGTTACGCGACACGTGCGATCGTCAACTGGAAATTGAAAGGGTTTGCGAGGACGATGTAAAAATGTTTTACGGAAACGAGAGGAAGCGGAAATGTCCGCTATATTTGCGAGACAGCTCACATGACAGTGGTCGCTCTTTTAGTACAGGGAGAGAAAGAGAGGTAAAATCTGTGCTAAAAAAGCCAGCAACCCATTTACGACCAAGGCTCTCAATTAATTGACGCGAAAATAAACAAATTGCTTAATTACTGAGTTGTTCGCGCAATCACGACATTGAATTTCTTGTCTGTCGAGATTGCTATAAAATTTGATCGGTTTTTCATTGTACAGGTAAAATATGCGAGATAAAATAAATTTATTAAAATCGAAATCATAACCACTTTCAATTAAAATAAATTGATCGATTGTACGCATCAAATATTGCAGTTCCTGTTACAAAATCCGATCCGGATTTAAAAAGAAATTATTGATGATTGCAGTTAACCGCAAATTACTGCCCGAGAAATTATGTCATTATAGGAAATGATTTGCACCTCTGTTGATATCGTGCAGATGCTCTTCATGAATAAAGAGAAACGCTACAATGATTATTTAACATTTACTAATTGTGTTTATATGCAGGTGATAAATCATTCGAATTATTGTATATCACTCATTTCACGTAACTAAAAATTTATCATTTTTGTTAGTTTACAGAACAAAACGGAAAAATAAAAAAAGAACATTTAAAAACTATACATATTTTTATCCCTCTACAATTAGTTACATTAAAATTGTATTTCAAAATTAATATTACAATATTTTAATGATTTTTTAAATAATTCCAAACACATTAAAACTTATTTTCTGGAAAACTGTTTTTTTGAGTTGTATCGTTTAAGTCAAGTGAATGATATACATATTTCTATAAGTCTAATCTATAAATCTATATGATTTTTTTACAGAAAATGAAAAGCGCACATCCTTATATATGCTTTAAACAAAAAAGTAGAATTATATGAAATTGTTATTTTGTGTTAAGTATATATGTACATAAAAAAAACAGGAAAAACTTTAATCAAGACTTTATTAACTATATAGTAACTGTACAATGCGATATATTTATCACCAGATTTGACACCGCGTAGGGTTTACTCCGCAGCATAAATTAACCAAAAGCACGTAATTATTTATGTATCTACACCTGATCGAATAATTTTCCCCAGCTCTCACAGAACTTTTAAATTAAAATTAACTGTTGCAAGCAAAATCAATCGGAAGGATTATATTTATCAAAATATGATTTGTAGTGGTGAAGATACTTGGCGCCGTAGAACTCCCGGAAGTATGAACTTCTGTAATCGCGACGAGTGCCCATTGCGATGTTCACCTGCTGTTCAAGAAGCCTAACTTTTCTGAGTTGGCTCTCGTGATATATTTGATGGAGATATTTCTCGTATTCCTGTTGCGGCGACGGGAAGAAGTAACGTTGAAGGAATCTTTGAATTGGATGCTGAAACAAACAAGAAATGAAGATCATTATGTTTTTCGATAGTGTTTTTATAAACATAAAACTTCAATAAAAATATTTTCTTTGACCAGTAGCGTCAAGATTTAAAGTGACTCTAGACAACATTAGCAAATATGACATACATAATTATGGATTATGAATGTAGATCAATATTTAGCGAATACATGAAGTTGACACATATTGATCATATCGTCTGAAAACCTTACCCGAAGATATTCCCATTCCTTTGGAACATAATCCTCAGGGATTTCTTGAAGTGTGGCAGGACCAACAAATACGTTAACTAGGGTGATCCCGGTGAGCACGGGAATAGCACCAAGTAAAAAGTACAAGTGGAAATAATCTTTTGTTTTGTGCCACTGAAAGGAACTCGGTCGTATGATAAACGTCCGTTCTTCTGACATGCATCTTGCTTGTCCTAGAAATATAAAAAAATCCGAGATATGAAAAGTGAATTAATAGCTTTTGATATTTAGAGATATTTAAAATTTCAAAGAATATATAATATATATAGCTAACATAATTGTACGTTTATTTCTATGACTGAATTTATGATAAAAATAGTACATACAGAATTACTTGTAAATGACATAGCATGGCCCCATCAATGTAAGATTAACTTAACTTATTATTTATTTTCTTCTAACGTCCGTTTTAATTAATGTAGATTAATTTTAATCACGGTTTAACTAACTCTTTATCTTTTTCTCTTTGTATTACAATATCATCTATATTTCTTACTGGAAAGCACACAATGAGTAAACTAAACTAAGATTAAAGTTAATCTTACATCAGTGGATCCGTGGTAAACAAACTTGCTATGGACTTTTTATAGTATCGTATGCATATGATGTTGATATTATCAGATGTTCTTGAAATGAAAATAAAGTAATTATCGAAATTAGTGACGAACAATTAAGAATTTTCAACGTTACAACTCATTTTTATTTTTATTCACAAGTCTCAGTTTATTCTGTGAGACACACACACAGAAAAATTATACTCCATCGAAATACACTGTGCGATCATTGCGTAACAAAACACCAACGACTCTCGCGGAAGCACATTGGTAAAAGAAAAGACACTCATTCGACAACGCGAACAATCGCTAACAACCGTGCATGAATAATCACCATTCTTTATCAGTGCTGTTGTGTTGCTGCTGTTCTGCAACAATTTTTGCCTTGCAGCACGCAAAATGCTACTCCACACCGCCATTTTTCTCCGATAGTTCGGTTCGGAACAGAAATGTGGAACATATATGAACTTTAAAAGTAGACCGAAAATGTAGGACGCTTATTTATCGACTTATGCATGTTTCCACCAATGTAGATTAACTTTAATCTCGGGTTAACTTTCTGTTTATCTTTTTCTAATTTTTAGTTCTAGAAAAAGACGAAAAGCAAATTGAACCGAGATTAAAGTTAATTTACATTGATGGAAACGGGCATTAAAAGATAAAAGATTACTATTTTATCATTGTAGTCCGATAAGATAGAACTAAAAGTATATAGAATTTCTATAGGATTTTTACTGCAGAATAGGCAACTGACTTATATTTTGTAAAAACGTAAGAAATAAAATTATTAAAGGATGAAAAAATTATACTTCTTTGTTTTTAAAAAATATGGATCAGCCCACTGTGTAGTAATTTCCCTTTAATTAAAATTTAGAGCTGTGTTAACACAATTAAAATGTTATAAATAATTTTTACGTAATGATTAATTTGAATCGTGACAAAATCAATTTATATAAAATTATTAAAAACGTTGTTAATAAAATATCATTTGTTATAATTGTCCATTTTTCGCAACATTTTTTCATTATTTTTGATAAAATTTTACACGTCTAAAAATGTACATAAGTTTATAATTTTAGAAGTTTTTACAGAAATTTTAGAAGAACTTTTTTCCGCTTTAAATGATAAAAAGTACTCACATGATTCTCGTTGATTGAGTTGGAAATCGTTTAGTTACAGAGGCCTCAACACGTTTGTAACAACATGATCCGTAACAATAAACGGTGATACGTATACCGTCAATTAAACCGGGTCAAGTGAGCAATTGAACTAGAGAAATACCGAACACTTGGTAATTCATGTGACAGGATTCGAGAAAATTCTGAATCGTGCCGTCAATATCTTCTGTCGCCGATTTTTATTCAGATTTTCAGATATCTTCCCCAAAGACAAGAAAAAAAGCGCGAAACATAACAGCGGTGCGTAATAATTATATGTAAATCATACGCATGACATACGTGATAAAAATGCCTTTCAAAGTTTCGCGGAAGGAAAGAAAAAAAAATTCGTCACGCTAGTCATTAATGTGAGTAACAAGCTGTTGATGTTATTATTTCACTCACGTGTTATAATGCGAAAGCCTTGATGTCAGCGATTGTAATCGAGGCTAAAAAAATGGCTTATTTTAGAATAAATTTTTAAAACGCTGCGACGCAAGTCAATTTGCGAGACCGCGACAACGTCATATTTTCATACAACATTTTTGTTATAAGAATAACGAAAATAAAGATAAGCCGAGCAATTAAAAATTTTCTATATTCATACATAACGTGTATCGCATTACCTGAGGCGGCTAAAAAGTGTCAAGTTAATCCTCCGCATTCATATTGTACACAATAGAATCCGGTATGCCGGTACCTGCGCGGTATTCATTCTTTTTGAGAACAGCTGATTCACAGTCGGAAGAATTCCAAGCGCGCCAATACACGTCGTCGTATCGTGCAAACATTTCCTATTCTCTCATCGATAACGCCAAAGATTAACGATAGCAGGGTTGCACAGCGATACCGCGGTGTTACGTTAGGGAATGAGTCATCAATTTTATGCGGATCGATAACAGATATCGGAGTAACGTACAATCCTGTATCGATGGATCTTCTTTTATTTATTATTAGACTTCAACATCTATTACGTCATGAGAAAATTAATTCGTTACTTTACGAGTACATCTTTACGAACAATTTACAAAATCTTTACTAATTAATATTGTACTTCTTAGTTTTATTCTTGTTTATTTTTTAACAAATTTCTTTTTATTTTAGATATTTTTTATTTTAATATGTATGCCATTAATTTCCATTCCGATAATGAACAAAAATATGATAATTAAATGTAGATATATCTTTTGAGACCACGGGTATTTTTTGCAAGAAAGCCATGCGATTTGCGGGTTATCTCTGTGTTTTTGTATATTTATTAAATGTCTCGCAAAGTTCATTTAATGGTGTATCAAGACATGAAGATAATTCGCAAACTGTGCGTAGCTTCTCCGAAATTGGAGTAGATTACTTTGAATTCTTTTCGGAATGCTTCAAAGCTTTCGACAAATGTTTTAGAAGTTCGAGAGATTTTACTTGTTTATATATATATATAGAAAATTTTTGATTAAAATTATAATTATACATTTTCATCTTTGATGACAAAATGTAGGGAGGAGCTCTTTGAAAGGTTTTTAGTTCTAATTATATGTAGTCTGAGTATCATATTGATCACGGAGAGCCCTTTTTTCTTTTTTTTCCCGAAAGTTTTTTTCACGAACTAACGAAAAAGCTAGATATGTAAATACTTGTCTATACAATACTTATCACGCGGAAGCTGGAAAAAGAACGGAAGCATGAATAAAAAATACAAGCTCGATGGATCATTGACCTCTCACGCGCAGCAATCCTAATTAGCTTCCAGAAAATAAATCTCAGAAACTGTCCAAATTTTCTACAAATTTTTCGTATCTTTTTATTTAAATGATATCAAAATTATTTGCATACATAATTGTAAAATTAATGTAAAGAATTCAATGTTATTACAATTTTGTCACGATCAAATAACGTATCCTGCGGCTGAGAAATTCAATTACCCATATTTTGTTACAATCAGGTAGTCGTTGGTCTTCCGGTAACGTATGCATCAGATATTTCGTTTGGAATGCTGTACGGACAAAGCGAAGAATCGTACAGCTGAGCTTAGACAGATGATCGGTCCGACGTGACGACTGACGGCGGCTGAGCCTCAGCAACCCTTAGACAATCACCACCACCACATGGAACAGCGTGGATAACGGTAGTGTAACATAGGCCGAATACGAGCTGAAGGGGAAGGAGCACGTAGAGGAAACGAGGCAACGAGATTTTCAAGGCTCAGTCGTCTAGCAGCAGTCGAGCAGGGAAGCCCAGTCGCCGATCGATCCGAATATCGCGCTGTCGGATAGCATTGTGCCGCGCGCGTCGCGTCCCTGTTGCTCCTACCACAAAGTAGTTTCGTCACAAAAAGAGGAGTTCTTGGCCCTAGCGACTCCGAGTACTCCGGTTGTTTTCCCAGCCCAGCTTTGTCCATTCTCTGCCCTTCGTGAACGTTCGCGGCGCTCGACGAAGGATCGATTCCTGAAGCGGCTTGGAGAGGTGAGTGTTCGGTTGGGCAGATCTAAATTCACGTAATTAGAATAATTAAAATTTCGTGAGTCTCCTGAAACCTGAATTTTGGAAAAAATACATTTTAGCAGAGCACGCATTTCTTTAATCTTATCATATTCGTTTAAGAATTTTTCTTTTCTATATATATTTTCGATTAATTTATATATTTCACGAGATAGTTATTATTATTTGGAAGCGAAAGAAAGAATGCTTGTATCAGTTGTGCGAATAATAATCGTTTTTATAATAAGTGAATAAGCACCGATAAGTTGTAATTATCGTCGAACTGATTATTATCGTCAGGATAACTTGTTCTGTCTGCATTTTCTCACGTTATCTGCATTGAAAAGGAAATTATACACTTGAGGAGAAAAAATTAGAGAAGGTAGCATCCAGATGCATCCAAAACGGACAGGCCACTGACAGCGCGCGTACCTGTTGGTTTATTTACTGTCAGTCCTTTCGATGTGACGCCACGTCGGGGCGTTGATCCGCAGTGGATCGATCGATTCTCGTGGGTTCTCATAAACATTGAAATCACACTGACCGAATGGGCCACTAGAATGTCCGACATTAAATCGATTTTAATACTCGTAGGGACATTTTGGTTACGCATACAATTTTGTCGTGCTCGACACAGATGACGAAATTCATAAGGCTGTATTTTAAACAGAGATATTTTAAGGTCACGCGATCTGATTTAAAATCATTGTCTTTAAAACAAACATTCTAACCCAAACACAATTTAAGAGTTAAACGCAGAAATATATAAAAATAATTTGTCGATACGTTACGAAAGAACGACAATCGTTCAAATTTTTATTAAAAACAAATCATCAGAAGGAAGTCACATTGTGATTCGGAGTCCTACAGCAAAAACTATTTTTCTTCCGTATTTAAATTTTTACTGAAAACAAATAATGTTAAAAGAGGACATTGTATGAATAATCAGATTTCTGTAGAAAATTTCTTTTTTTTATTAAATTTGAGTATATAGAATAGTATAAGAATTTTGATTTAGTAGAAAAATAAAAGATGTAGAATTTCAAGAAATACATAAAAGTATAATGAGTTCGATGAATATATTTTTTAAACATAATTCTCATTGGAAATAATTCTACAATGTATTGTATAAAGATTTGGATGTAATATTATCAAATTATCAGACAAAGAGAATAAAGAAATTTATATCGATAGATAGAATATTATCAGTCACGGTAGAGAAGATTTAGACTTCAACATTTATTTATCAAACAATAATGATATAATAGGCAGTATAATTGTGTAATGTTTACATTTAAATTAAATGTTGAGTGTCATAACTTCAAGGATTTTCAACAGTGACAAAACTTCTCCTCGTCGCACGCTTTTCTTATTGCATGAAAATTTGGAACTTTGATCTCACATCAATCCATGATACGAGTCATTTCGTTTAAATCAAGTTCTAATATCCGTTTCTACAATGCAGTTTCATTTTAATCTTTTCATCTAAATTCTTCATCTTTTCTTAGTTCTTTTTAAGAATTAAGAAAAGATGAAAAATAAATTGTGAACCGAAATTATAAAGTTAATCTATATTGATAGAAACAGACATAAATCTACCACGATACTTAATTTGTTTCGACCGACAGCTCTATGCAACCGCTTCCTCATGCAATCGCAACAGACGACTTTTACGACCTTTATTCCACGAAGTGACGATCAACCTGTCTCTCGATGATGTTACGGGGATCTTGTAGAATGACAGGATCGATTGCAGCAACGTCGCATCGGGTTTACGCAAAGCAGTGGACAGGCAAACGATTTATTTTCTTCGTTATTTTCTTGCAAAAGAAATTTTAAAAAAGATCAGCTTACTCAACTCGGTTCTATCATGACTTCACACGAAGCCGGAACTAGCTTGACCCTCATATAAGGCCAACGATTCTTCCTTTGTTCATCTATATGTATGACTGTAATATAAAAGATTTATTTAATGTAAACTGTGTTGGTGCAATTTTAAATGCGTAATGGCATAATTTTAATCCGCCTACATCTACAAGTCGCACGTTCGTGGATGTAATCAACAGCCAGTGGTTAATTCAAAAACTCTGCCTATACAATTTGAGACGTTTAGATTTGTTATGACGAATGAAATTTCTTTGCTTTAGTATAAAATAAAATTAAAATAATTTTTAAGAAGAATAATAATTTGTAAAAGAGATAGAAGCGCAAAATAAAATTGGACAATTATAGACGCGTGTGTGTGTTTACAAATTCGAAAAAAATCTCAAAAGAAAAAAGAATTAATTTAAAAATTTCATAATAATTTGTTACAAATATATGACGATTTTTTTTCTAAACAGTTAAAATCTTTGCGCTGCGCATCGCTTTTACAGAAGTAAGTGTATTGAAAGACTCTTCGAAACGCTGAAGAAAGTCGCATATTACTGCGCACCGACTCTTATCGCAGGATTTTGCAGAATTTTCTTTAGTTGTTAACATCCGCCAATAAATTGCCATTTGCAAGATGATAGATCGCTCTCCATAACAATTACGGTGTTTGCTGCAAATGTTTCTTGCGCTACGGCACGCATAAATTATCCGCAAACGCTAACCAATTTTTTCCTCCTTTGTGCAGGAGAGAAGAAAAAATAACGACCTATAAAAACTGCCAGTTACTTTTGCTTCTCTGTGAGATTTTATCGCGAATAAAAGTGTCATTTATTTACGCAATCAGGTGCGAAATCACATCAATCTGATTAAATCGTCATCCTTAACGAAATTTTATTTTTGATAAACTGTGCTTAAGTCCGTCGATAAAAAAAGTTATCATTTTGTGCCTGCTCTACTTTATTCATGATCAGTTTTATTCTTTGTCACACTGTTGAATTCTAGACACAACGGTTGATGGTTTCTCGGTTTATTGGTGCTCGCAAGTCGTTGGTGGAAGTTATGCGGGATGAAAGTCGGATAAGACGCGCGCGCGTGCGAGCAATTTAGATGAAATCGCCGGTTATACGATGGACGCTGGGCTCGATTCTTCTGGGACCCATGGCGATCGTTAGTCACCGGAGAAATACTGATGGCCATTCGTGCTAGAGCGTAGAAATCACTGAAACGAGGCAGCAATCCGTGCGAACGCTCGTTTACTCGGCACGAGTTGCGTATAAGTAGCTTCCAGCGAATAATTACATAAAAAGGTTCATAATGGTCGAGAGAATGAGCAACTAATGATAATTACGCGAAATTTGTGATTTCGTTTCTCTATTGTCATTTTAGTTCATCTTAATCCACTTTAACAATCGAAGAAAAGAAACGGTATAAAATGTACGAGAGAAAGAGAAAAAGAAAAAAGTAATGAAAAATGCTTATCTTGCCGTTTCAATCACGACGCGCAAGGAGAAAAATTGATTTTGCATCCGACATAGAAAGTCACTGATCGCGCAGGGCATTAACCACAAAATTGTTACACCACCGTGACCGAGATATTGAGTTGTTTTTTGTTTTATTGTGATAAGATAGTTGTGAGACAATGTTGATACAGTAATTGTTCAAGAATTTCTATTTTAGAACTTGTAATTAGAATTTAACGAAAAAAGATCCTGATGCATAATATGATGCTCTAAATATATTTATATAACGATTAGAGGAAAATTATTAATGTAATAATGTCATATTTTTGGTAATACGAGCAGTAATGTAATTTAATTTCAGGTTATAAAATGTTGGCCAACGTTGAACAGAGTTGACGAGGGCCTACTTGTAGGGAAACGCCTACTTGACTAGCGCTAATCGGCAGGGAGGAGAAGAAGCATAAAACAGATACGCGTTTCGACCGAATAGTAGTTTGATTAAAAACAAAGAAACACAATGGATCCTTATTCGTTGAGGTGAGAATATATGTATTATTCATATAAATATATTTTAGTCGAATTAGAGACCGCTATTACAAAACGTTGGACATCTGTGCTTTGATTATCTTGCTAAATCGACATTCTCCCTGATTTCAATAAGAAATACAAGAAGTTTTTCTTTCAATAAAAAAGAGACCGACGGTTGAATAAATAAGTACAAAATCCATTGTATGAAAACAATCCATCAAAAACCTTGAATAAGACTGAGAGAATTTTTTTTTGTTCTTTGTTGAGGCATTCCTCCCTTACCTTTTGTCCCTTTTTGCCTTAGGTACATACATAATATGTCACACGGCATAATTCTAAAGTACATAGTTATCTTGTAGGCTGTGACCTAAAAAAATAATTTTTTATGTCAATATGTCTTATCGTTGTAGAAAAGGATAATCCTAAAATATCTAATCTTTGTATTAGTTTAGATATATTGAATGTTTTCAATACGATATTTTTTACAAATTTCTTGAAAATTTATCTCCTTATATTTGTGGGGAAAATAAACCTTTAAGGGCCACTATTGGAATTGACAATCGCATTTGTCAACGATAGATTCCAATAGGCTAACCGTCTATTAAAATTAATAAGAGTTGGTCGAAATAATCCTTAGAAATATACAGTAATTTATTGATATTTCAATCGGCATTTCCATCTATACATGAAAAGAAACACGCCCCCAGATATCTTGCATCAGTTCAGATATTTTTACTACTATTCTTTAGAAAATTTAAACGGTACTCTCAAAAAAATTCTTTCTTTTGACAGGAAAGAACCTCGAGATACCTAATCGAGGTATCTAATTATTGTTTTCAATATCCCTGAAAATTTTTTTTAAATGAGTTCCTTGCTTTTGGCTCTATCATAGGAATGCGGGAAATATATCTAGTTTTGAACATATACATATACATTGTAAAGTCGCAAGATAAATTCTGTCCGATTATTACATAATTGTCAGGATATGATTTTAAGTCGAGACATGATGGATGTTTTTCAAACGCAGATAACTTTCCGCCTGAGGCTACCCTAATAGGAAGACTTACTTGAGAAACCAGTTTCGTTGACGTGAAGCTGAAGTATCTCAATTTAGCAGAGATATGACTTAATTGTAATTTGATTTCGTCACGTCCTTTGTAATTATTATTAAACAGAGAGTTATGCGTATTATTTTAAAATATTGAAAAGTTATCGAAGAGCAATATGTTATCGAAATTGAAATTAAATATATATGAAATACATGAAAGAAAGATAACTGTTTTGCTGGCTTCAAAATTTAGATAAGCGTACAAAAGTGAATAGTTAAATTGTCGTTGATAATACAGCGATTTAAATTATGAGTTTTATTTCAAATTAAAAATAGCGAATAATTTAATGATAAAATAATAAAGCAAATTTGGAACATGCTAACAATAATCAAAATTAAATGACATAATAAGCAAAACTTATTAAAGCAAGGTTTATAATTAATAAAATAACAATTTAATTATTTTAAATTATTAATATCGAGTTAAAGGAGATTTAAGGGCTCAATTACGCTTCAATCAATGTATCAAGTGTTCAGCTAAGTAATATAAGTTTTTTCGATTATTGGCAAAAGATTTTGAGATCGCAGTCAAAAGGAGAACTCGCGAATGGACACTCGATTGCGAGATCGCTCAGTAATTAATCTTTGATCCCGAGTAATGCGTGTGACGTTATAGTTTCTCGTAACAAATTGTCTCTCGAATATCGTAAAAATGTCGATGGGACTACGTTGGAAGTTGGTGGATATTTCCTCCTCACGTTCGTCATAATTGCACATATATATGTGCGTTTTGGTTTTCAAAATCTCCAAAAAAGAACTGGTGAGAACGATGAGAAAGAATCGTTTTCATTAGTTCTTTTTCAGATCGATGACGATTATAAAATTTACATACTCGTCCTGAAAAAGACAAGATTGCTTGAAATAAATTAAAAAATCCTTTTAACTTGTGTTTTGGCACAAGAACCACATCACGTGTAAACGATACGAAATCAATGATGTAACTTGTGTGCGTGATCGTTGCACAGAAAATGATCATTCCTAGTCAGAAGGAAGTTGCACTGTAAATATTCTCGCGAGTGTTTCATAGAAGAAACGCGGATTTGGTTGTGTTTATTTCGCAAATTGATTATCAAACTGTGAACTGTTTAATCGTTAAGATAACAGATAGGATAGTATATTCTCAATAAACGTAAGGTATATAAGTGACGTGATTTGTGTTTTATCACGAGATTACACTTAACATAATTTAATCGCTCATACAAGTCTGGCAATTTTGTAATTTAATCATGCCCTTATCGATATTGGATCTATTTAAGCGTTATCTATATAATGACGTTACCGATATGATATTCGTAGAATTATCGACGTACGTTTCGCGTTGCAATAAATTATCTATTTTTATACGTTCAATTACTATCTTTATTCAGACTTTGATTTTCGCGTATTAACAAAATATGTTTGAGTAGAACAAACTACGTCGACCGGGAAACAGTAACAATAAAGAATTGTCCACGATTTATCTGCCTGCTTTGTCACGCTAGCGTTGTTACTATCTTTGTAGAATCAGGGCCAAGGTTAATGTCGCGAATGGTTACGCCACTTCGAATAACGCGTCTACTTTTAGCCGAAGCAACCGTAAAAAGATCCTTCCATCAACAGTATTCGCGACACGGGATTCGTGTATAATAATAAAATTCTGTGCAACAATCACGCGCCGTTAGCAAAGACTGCAGTCGTATTAAGGCTCCACAATTCACGATTAACTCTTAATCAAATTCAATTTAGTCTTTATCTTTTCCGAATTCTTGAATTGACTTGGAAAGAGATGAGAAATAAGTTGAAACTTACTTAAGAATTGATCGTGAATTGTGGAAAGATAGGCTTAAAATAATTTAAAAAAGAAATGCAAGGAGCTGAATAAGCAAGAAATGCCGTCATAAGTCCCGTGAGTGGAGATACCCCCAACAGCACGCAAAGTACGTAGTCAGCTGTAGTAATTAGTCTCCCAGATGACAACGTGTAGCTAAGTGAAATGGCTCCCCGCCTTTCGCTCATGGGAAATGTCAAACGGCTCTTCCCGCAAGCGTACGCTTCTAATAACAATACAACTGTTGCGGAAGTGGCATGAAAAATTTACATGCTCGATATATAGACTGTAAAAAATGTAAAATGACCACCTTATGTCTGCATGAGTCGACATGTCTTCATAAATAGAATCGATATTTTAAAAGCCGGTAATTTACTTACATACGTCTGCCACGTATTGCAGATATGAATTCCGCGAAAACCTCGGTATTATCGCGATATGTATTGTCTTAACATAATAGTATAATAAATCACGATCCACTGAATGAAGTACGTAGCCCGTTATTCACGAATAACAATTCTGGTCTGGCCTTCTCCCTATTCTGGGTATCAGGAAAACAAGGGACCGGCATGACAACGAGTTGTACTTAGTCTGAGCATCCAAGCATATTGCTCGCGAAGAACACATGTTTCAGTTGTTTCAGTCACAAACCTTGTAGATTTGTTTCGCAACCAGACGCAATAAGACGATTTAAGGTTTTTCTTTTCACTTCGTACGATAAAGCGCAGGGTATATGAATGCATAACATCTTCTCGAGTTTCAAATTCAGCTCTTAAATTAAATATTAAATATCTGGATATAGGATAATCAAATATTGAATCTTGAGGCGGTTTTATTCAATATTCTGCATCGCATGTTTTCGTATGACGTTCAGAGAAGTTACTAGCGTGACCTTATCGAAAATAGATCCGTGACGAGGAAGGAAATGACGAACTTAAAACAATTTAAGAAAGCATTAAGTAAAAAAGAATGCATTATGAAAATTGTCGTATTTCCTGATGTAATCGCAGTAATTGCGATGATCGTGGAGATAGTCATTGTAAGTATATATAGATTTTTTAATGATATAATTGCGACAATAATTTTATCTCCGTTGGATAGATGAAAACGTTTCGACCCTGAAGACGCAATAAGAATACAATTCCGTAAAAAAATTATTATTTTTTGTATTTAACTTGGCTATATAAATATTTTGCAACAACATGTACTGTGTTAATGGTTACCTACATTATATTTAATACTTACACCAGAGAGAGAGAGAGAGAGAGAGAGAGAGAGAGAGAGAGCGCAACAACATTCAAATTAATACATGATTGTTTAAAACCTTACGTGAAAATTTTGTGGAGATGCATGATGAGTTGAAAACTGCAGAAACTGTTTCCATAAAATTTTATTACGGCACCGTAAAATAATAACTGATAGAATTGTGTAATATAAAGGAATCATTTGAATTTAACAAAATACGTCTAATAAGACTAAATCTAAAAGAGCTATATTTTAAATAGATTTGTTAAACTCTCTCTACAATCTTTTTGCCTTCTAGCTTGTTAAAGTCACGGCTAGAAACCAGATTCAACTGTGTTCAATGATATGACAATTAACACGCATTAATTCTCATCAAGTATATAATTGTATCTAACCGAGATCGTCGCTTTTTAACTGAGAATAATCATTCATTTAACAAGAAACGTTTTCAAACGTTTTATACGTGTAAATTAATTGTAGCTAAGTGCCCGTGTGAAGAAAGTTATTAGGCTTAGGAAAACCTATGGTCAAAATTATAATACAAGAATTAAAGAACATATTGTAGATATTATATTACTCAACAATGAATAATATTCTGTTATATATAATTTCTATAAATTGATTAAATTATGACAGAGAATGAATTCACAATAACAAAAAAATATTCATTATAAGAATAATCATATAAAAATAAATAATTCTTATTTTCGCAGCATTTCTTTTTAAATTAAAATTCAATAAATTAAATTAAAACAATGTTGATTTGTAATTGATGATTTTAATGATAAACTAGTTCACCGCGTTAAATGAGCCATGGTGCAACACTTTCGCAAATCAATCCGCGTGATCTCATTGTTATGCGAGACAATCTGTTGGGGACTATCGTTTTGACATTGCCTATGCTTAGCAGACACAATCAGCGGTTTGTGTTTCCTTCAAATCAATTGATTAGACCATTAATTTTATCATTCTTTGGACTGATATTCGGACATTTAATATCATCGTAAACATAAAAAAATTAAATATTCGTATTGTAAAAAAGCTACAAATCAACGGTAAGTTATTCATTTAATAAATACTTCTTTTTATCCGCATATACATATTTTATATTAATCTCTCTCTTTTTAATTCGCGATATTACAAGATTATTAATCTTATTGCTATAATTAGATAATTTTTATTGTAAATAAATGTCATAAGTATGACAATTGTATTTAAAACTGCATCTGAAAATTTAAAGTTATTACGAAGGATATGGTATTAAACAGTTAGACCCATTTCAGAGAGAAACCAGTTTTCGTAATTCATATAATAGGTTCGATGCTTATAGGAAATGTCTACAAGAGAAAAGAATTCGATAAACATATATCTTTACTTAATGTAATCTTGCTTCTGTAAGTTACGTGACTATTTCGTACGTCAAGCTGCGAGCGAAATAACGCCATAAATATAACGTTGGCTTATTGCAACTTCGTAATAGACTAGACATTTTTACTGAACTGTTTAGAAATGTATGTCAAATGAAAAATAGAATCAAGAATAGAACAGAAAAATATTGATCAAAATCAATTGTAAAATCACAATGTGTACAGAGAAAGAATTTTGCTAACATATACTTACAAAAAATTAGCTGCAGATCTGAAAATAATTACTTAGAAATTTTGAGCATAATAAAGAGTATTGCAAAAAGTTTTTATATTTTAACAACGCTGTTTGAATATTAATTACATTGATAGTTCAACAAAATTATTTTCAGATCTGTATCTAGCTAAACGTTTAGATACTAAAAAAAACGTCCTTTCCGTATTACTGAAAAACAATTACATTTTATCTATATACATTATTGCTTAAAACTTCCTTCGAAATATACAGCATTATTATACATAAATGTTATAATATTTGTCAATAAAAAAATTAATATTTATGTAGTTATAGTTTTTTATTGTAATAAGAAATGTTCAAGTTCATTTACTGTAACATTGCAACGGATGTAACACCTAATTATATCAGTTTTTAGTAAGTATTTAATATAATTTTGATGGTCACGTATTGCTATCGATAATGAATTACGTTTTGAGATACGAAACCTGCGAGAAACCAAAACACATAGCTGAGGATCAGCGCGATAAATATTTATGGACTGTAACCATAGAGTTAAAATGAACACAGACAAGACGATATTATACCATATATTGCATCGTCACTTAAATGGCATATCGAAACGACGAACGTTCGCGTCACAAACAATTATTGTAAATTGCAACGAGTTCGAAAAAGATATACAGTAAAAGGCGAGCCCGTAAAACTCGTATCAGTATAACGTTAGTTCTCGGTTTGTTCGACGATCGATTGACGACACCTTATTGTGTTGCAGCGTGGAGCGAGAGGCATCGAAGAACATCGAGGAGAATGAACGAGAGTGCTTTAAAGATGCGATCGTCTCGAGCCGGAGCCTTAACAAAGGTTTCGTCGAACCGACGAACCTTAGAAATGCCATCCGAGAGGTATCAATTATATACACATTTTCCTAAGAAGAAAGAGAGGATAATTACTTCGTTTTATTTTCGAGTGGTAGCACGTTTTTCGTGTGGAAAAAAAGCTTTTTAAAAACTACGCGGAAAGAACGAAAGAAATTTTGCTAAAATATCTAAAAATTTAGCTAAATATATAGATCTGAAAATTATTTCGTGTATATCAAAATGTAATTATATTAGAAGACCAAACTGCAGGTTGCTAGAATGTAAAAACTTTTTGCAGCGTTGTTATCAACGCTTAAAACGTTTAAACTTTAAGTTGTCTATAATTATTTTAATTTAACGTTTTCTATATAATTATTTTAATGGTCCAACAAAATTATTTTTAGATCTGTACTTAGTAAAATTTTCATATACTTTGGCAAAACCATTTTTTCCGTATATGGGTTTCCGATTGACGCGAATATTATTCGATTATTAAATTAGATTTAATAACAGAATTTTTGTTGCATTCTGATTAATAATATATATTTTTTTAAGTAATATCTTCCGAGGACAATTTACCGATATCTTAAACAAAAATCATAGAGAAAAGGTATTCAGATAAAAAAATGAGATTGAAAGTATTCTCGTTTATTCGTTTGTTTCGCGGACCTTAAAAGTATAATAAAGTAGAAAGTCAAGGTGAAATGTGCATTTTGCGGAAGCTGTGCACAACGCTTTTCAAATTTCGTAGATCGCCGCCTGCATCATTGCAGCGTCTTTCCACATAGCGGTGGGCTTCACCATGGCATATTCAGCAACTCTTATTCCTCATCTCGAGAAGGAAGACGCGCGTATACATGCCACGCGTGAACAAACTTCCTGGATAGGTGAGTACAAATATATACTCTACAAATATATATATATATATATATATATATA